TTACAAACTTTCCCGTTTCTCAAATAACTGTTCCTGTACTTAAGACAGAAAACCCTTCAATATACACAGATGTACAACAGCTAAGGGAGAGAAAGGAAATGGGAAAATGTCAGGAATAGGAATTAGGGAATGGATCCTCTATTTGGGAAGATGAAATGAAGGGACTAAACCCTTCAATTCCACCAATAACTATTCACAGAAACATGCAGCCGTTTGCCACATCATACCTGTGCCAGCACTTTGAAAAAGGTATCCAATTAATTCCATATCCTGGCTGCTGCTTTATGCGTATGCAAATTTTAACTGTCTAGTAATGTATCCAATTCCCTTTTGAAAGTTTTTATTTAATCTTTTTCCAACGGCCGTTCAGGAAATGCATTCCAGATCAGAATAAATTGCCATGGAAAGAGATTTGATATCCTATCTGCTTCTTTTGTCAATCATCTTAAAGCCAAGTTATTATATTTTAATAACTTAGTTAAAATGTTTAACAAGGTATGTTCTGGCAATTCTATTGTAACTCTGTCAACTTTTGATCGTTGCAATATCTTTGTCAACGATATCGTGTTCCAGGCACTGTCCTCTATCAAAGCACCAACATCTCAAACAGAAATTCAAACTAACAATCTCTTGAAAAGTCTCAAATAATGTTTACAAAGAGGAATTGAATTACCACCTAAAATATTAAACTGAGGATCGCAGATATTGTCTGAATCTATTGACCATTTGGTTTATGACTGCTGCTCTGTCATGTGCAGGACAGTGTTGCGAAGTTGGGTAGAGTATTTGTGAATTGGAAGGCAGGTCGTTAGAATTTGATGTTTGTAAAATGATAAGGCGGGGAATGAGTGTGTGGTCCCTTTAAAAGATTATTAGTTTTAGGCTTGGACATTTTAAAATGTCTGCAGGCAGCAGCAGATGCACAGAGTTCTTAAAATTGAAACATTATATCAAAATGCTATACTGTTAGAGTTTTTGCCAAGTTAACTGGTTTTTGAATTTAGTCAATTAAATTAAACCAGGCCCTAGATTCCAAAACCCAACTAAATTTAAATTTATTGGTTTGACAACCTAGGACCAATCCTACTGTAAGAAATTAATTGGTCATCAAGGGTATAAAAGAAGAGGTCATTTGAAAATTGGGGTGAGTGTCAACTGTCATCTGCCAAGAGTACAGCTCTCACAGAATTCTCTAAGCTCTCAGAAAATCATCACCTAAACTAAAGATACAGCAGCACTCTTAGCTAGCAGTCCAGAGACAAGAATTCAACAGAGAAAGGTGTTCCTGACTGAGGATCAGTGAGATGGCATGGAACATTCCAGAAGACTTAATCTAGCTGTAATTTTGAGAGCCTATGTTTTAGTTTATTTTTCTCATTACTTTGATTTATGTAAGTGGGACTTGTAAAATTTATTGGAATTTATTGGAACAGCATACCATTAGAATTTTGTTATTCAGGAATAGTTAGTAGTTAAGGAGGAATTGTTAGTAGTTCTGTTAGTTCGTTTATTGTTAGCGTTAGATAAATAAATTGTTACTTGTGGATTATAAAGTGAGTATCAGGGATTTCTTTCATTTAATCCTTCCTTTATGACAGATGGGGTGGGTGGAAGTGAGAGGCAGGTTATATCAACTTTCACACTTCCTTTAACAGATTAGGAGGCAAGACGAGCTTCTCTGGATGTTTCGGTTTTAGTTATCAGAGGGGGGTCGACCTCTCCTTCCTAACACATTGGTGGCTCAAGTCCGGGGTCTGGCTAGTTCGTGTATGGGAACTGAATGGATTTGGACAGATTTGGACAGATTTGAACAGATTTTGGGTACAAAGGTCCCAGCAGATTTAAACAGATTTGGGGATTATGGTCCTAGATCTTTAAAATAAAACTCAGGTAGAAGTGGAAAATCTGTTTAATTTTGGTTACTTGTGGTTGGTTAAATCAAAAGTGAGGGATTGACACTTAGCAATGTTAAGAGGTTCATAGATTTATTTCATAGAATCCCTACTGTGTGGAAACAGGCCCTTCAGCCCAACAAGTCCACAACGAACCTGAGAGCATCCCACCCAGACCCATTCCCCTATAAACTACCTAATCTACACAGCCCTGAATACTACGGGCAATTTAGCATGGCCAATCCACCTAGCCTGCACATCTTCAGACTGTGGGAGGAACCCGGAGCACCCGGAGGAAACCCACACAGACAAGGGGAGAATGTGCAAACTCCACGCAGACCAAGGGCGGAAATGAACCCGGGTCCCTGGCGCTCTGAGGCAGCAGTGCTAAGCACTGAGCCACCGTGCCACTCAAAGCATACTGCACCTGGTATTCCCAGGCGGTCTCCCATCCTAGTGCTAACCAGGCCTGAGTATGCTTAGCTTCCAAGATCGGTCGTTTTCAGACTAGTATGGCCTTAGGTTTTGGGGTTTGAGGATGTTTCCCAACTTTGCCAAGAAAATTTAGAAAGACAGAGAAAAAATATACTTTTGGACTCAACAAAGAGGCTAGATTTGGGTTTAACTAGGGATAAGAGGAAAGCTGAAATTGTAAGGGAGTTAGTCAAGCATGTAGGTATACCAGAGAAACAGGCAAGTGCAGTAGAGATAGAAAAAAAATGTGAAAATTCGACATTTGGAGTTAGATAGGGGAAAAGAGAGAGAAGAAAGGGAACTGAAACAGTATGTATTATGGTTACAAGCAGAGGAAAGAAAAAGAGAAAGGGTGCAAGAGAAGAAAGGGAGAAAGAGAGTTTGAAATTGGAAGTTGCAAATTAAACAGGAAAGTCAATTTTGAAAAATGGAAATGAAGTTAGAAGTTAGGCTTAGTGAGGAGGAGCGTGATGATGAGCAAACCCATTGCAGTCAAACTCCTGGTCCAGGGATATATACAAATAATTACAATAAATACAAATACAAATATCAAAACATTACCAAAATTTGATGAAAAAGATGTAGAAGCCCTTTTCATTTCTTTTGAGAAATTGGCTAACCAGATGAATTGGCCAGAGACTGTGTAGGTAATCTAATTCAGACCAAGTTGGTAGGTAGGGCTAGTGAGGTGTTTGCAACGCTGTCAGATGAGGTGTCAAGAGAATATGGAGAAGTAAAACAGGCCTCAGGTGTTTCCACTGTAATAGATGGGGGGACACAAAGTCACAGTGCTGGTGGATTAAGAGAGGCACTGGGAAAAAGGATGGCCAATTCATCTGGTTATTGAGAGATTTGGGAGCTGGTCAGTCTCTAATAGTAAGAGATGAAAGTATTTGCACTCCTCCTGAAATGTTACCCAAGAAACTGATAATCTGTGGAATAAATGGAGGAAGATTTAGCGTACCCCGATGTAAGATAAGGCTGGAAAGCCCAATCAAGACTGGGGAAGTGACAGTGGGAGTGATTGAAAAAGTGTCTATTCCAGGAATACAGTTTGTTCTTCGAAATGACCTAGCCGGACCAAAGGTGGGAATGATGCCCACTGTAGTTGAGAAGCTGAAAGAAAACCAGGGAATTGAAGAGTTAAAAGAAAAATACCCCGGAATTTTTCCAGACTGTGTGGTGACAAGATACCACAGTCATAAGTTAAAGCAAGAGGGGAAAGCCAAAGAGAAAGACAAAGGAGTTGAGGTCCAACTAGCTGACATCCTGTTTGACAAAATGGTAAAGGAAAAAAGTAAAGGTGTTTAGTTCTGAAAAACTAATGGAGTTACAACAAAAAGATGAGACAATAAAAGATTTATATCATAAAGCTTATTTGGAAAAGGAATCAGAATGTATTCCAGAATGTTATTACATTCAGGATAGAATCCTATGCTGGAAATGGAGACCTTGGCAGGTTAGCGCAGTGGAGAAATGGGCAGGAGTGCACCAGATTGTATTGCCAGTAGTGTACAGACAGGAAGTATTGCAGGTAGCACACAAATTACCTGTAGGAGGTCACCTAGGAGTGAGGAAGACTCAGGCTAAGATACAGAAGCATTTCTATTGGCCTGGATTACATAAAACTGTGGTTGAATTTTGCCATACCTTTCATACATGTCAGATGGTAAGATTGCCAAGGCAGTAATAAAACCAGCACCTTTGCTGCCAATTCCTGCATTTGAAGAACCTTTCATGTGGGTTATGATTGATTGTGTAGGATCCCCCCCTTAAAACCAAAAGTGGAAAACAGTATTTGCTAACAATAATGGATGTGTCTACCATATTTCTGGAGGCAATTCCATTACGGTATGTCAAGGCAAGAAAGGTTGTGGAGGAGTTGCTCGCTTTCTTTACCCATTATGGATTACCCGGGGAGATTCAGCCAGACCAAGGGTCCAATTTTACTGCCAAACTATTTAAGGTGGTCGTAGATAGTTTAGGCATCCAACACTTTAAATCAAGTGCTTACCATCCTGAGTCCCAGGGAGCACTGGAAAGGTGGCATCAGACCCTAAAGCTATGCTGAGGGCTTATTGCCAGGATTACCTGAATGATTGGGATAAAGATATCCTATTTCTATTATTTGCTATTAGAGATGCTCCAAATGAATCGGCTCCGTTTACTCCATTTGAATTGATATTCTGTCATGAAGTAAGAGGTCTTTTTAAAATTAATTGAAAAGTTGATAAGTCCGAAGTCAGAGATCTCACAGTTGGATTATGTATCTGAGGTGAGAGAAAGATTAAACAGAGTAGGTAAATTAGCTAGGCAACATTTGAAGGTGGCACAGCATCTAATGAAGCAAGAAGCAGATAAGAAATCTAAAATTTGCCCGTGGGAACAAAGTATTGGTGTTGTTACCAGTGGTAGGAGATCCCTTCGAAGCAAGGTGCAGTGGTTCCTATCAGATTGAGAAGAAGTTAAGTTAGATGAATTATCTGGTAAAGATGCTAGATAGGAAAAAACTTTACTGGGTATGTCATGTGAACATGCTGAAACATTATTATGACAGGGAAAGGGCACCAGCGAAACAGGTATTAGTTACTGCCACTCAGAGTGATGAATCAAATCCACATGTTGAGGTTGGTTGGCTCGCCGAGCTGGTTTGTTTTTTCCGCAGACGGTTCGTTACCGTGCTTGGTAACATCCTCAGTGCAGCCTCTGATGAAGCGTCGGTGTGTTTTCCCGCCTGGTTTTTAAACTCTGGGGTCCGTTGCGATGGATTACCTCACTTCCGGGTTTCCCCTGTAGTGGAATGTATATGGGGTCAAGTTCAATGTGTTTATTAATAGCATGCTTCGTGGAGTGCCATGCTTCCAGGAATTCTCGTGCTTGTCTCTGCCTCGCCTGTCCCAGGACCTTGGTGTTGTCCCAGTTGAAGTCGTGGTTCTCCAGGCGGGAAAACACACCGACGGTTCATCACAGGCTGCACTGAGGATGTTACCAAGCACGGTAATGAAACGTCTGCGGAACAACAAACCAGCTCGGCGAGCCAACCAACCTCAACACCCACAACCCGAGCTACAGATCTACTCCAAAACCTCAAATCCACATGATTTCGATTTTGATCTGCCTCAGAATTAATTGAATAATGAGGAACTCCTTAAAGAATGGGACAGGGTAGTAAGCTATCCATCTCAGGAAAAGATAACTGAATTGAAAGACTTCTTGCAACACTATGAGGACATATGCAGAAATAGAATGGGGAGGACTAATACTATAGTACATGAGGTGGATGTAGGGAATGCTGTTCCGATAAAACAACACCCTTATAGGTTTAATCCTCTCAAAGCAGCACAGGTACAGATGCAAGTGAAAGCGATGCTCCAAGAAGACATTGTTGAGCTGAGTCAAAGTGAGTGGAGTTCGCGAAACGTGTTGGTTCCCAAACATGACAGTATTCAACAATTCTGCGTAGATTATTGGAAGGTTAATGCCATAACTAAATCAGACTTGTGCCCAATTCAAGGCTGGAGGACTGTCTGGAAAATGTTGGACAAGCCACTTACATCACAAAGTTGGACTTACTTCATGGTTACTGGCAAGTACCTTTGTGGGAGAGAGTGAAAGAAGTTTCTGCTTTTGTAATCCCAGATGGGCTATATCAATTTAAAGTAGTGCCCTTTGGAATGAAGAATGCACCAGCCATATTTTAAAGACTTATGAACAGAGGTGTGGCAGGATTGACTATTTGAGCTGTCTATATAGATGACTTAGTGATCTTTAGCCACTTGTGAAAAGATTGCATGGCGCATTTGGCAGAGCTTTTTGACAGACTACAGAAGGCAAAGTTGGTCATAAATTTGGTAAAAACAGAATTTGTAAAGGCAGAAGTGACGTTCTTATGGCACAACATTGGACAAGGAAGGATGACACCGAGGAACGTGAAGACGAAGACCATTGAGGAATTTTCAAGACCATCCTCGAAGAAAGAGGTGCTACGATTTTGGGACTGAGCAGATTCTTTCGGAGGTTTGTACCAAACTTTAGTAGCATGGTGGCACCACTGATAGATTTGTTGAAGAAAAACACAAAGTTTTGGTGGACAAAACAATGCCAGGAGGCATTTGAGAATTTAAGAGCAGTGTTAACCACCATTTTAGCCATGCCAACCCTTTAAAGTCGCTATTGACATAAGTGATGTAGGGGTTGAAGCTGTGCTGTTACAGGGGGATGATTGTGGGATTGAAAGGCCAATCGGTTATTTTAAAAAAAAACTCAACATCCACCAGAGAAAATATTCAACTGTTGAAAATAAGTTATTGAGTTTGGCACTGGCCTTAATGACATTTTAATGTTTATGTTGTAAACAATATATTGGAGATGGTTACGTACACTGATCACAATATGTTGACATTTTTGGAAATATTTAAAGACAAGAACACCAGACTATTTCATTGGAGTCTTACGTTGCAAGCATTTATATTACAGACTGTACATGTTGCAGGTCGTGAAAATGTAATTGCAGATGCGTTATCACAGGTTTGAAGGGAAAATGTGTATATAGGATAGAAATGGTAATGTTCAATGTTATTTATATATATATATATATATAGAATTAGTACGAAATGTGGAACTCCAGATTAATGATCTATGGATTTAGTAATAATGGTGTTAAGATTTAGAGAGAAAAAAAAAGCCATCTTTTCATCATGACAGTTCATTTTTTTAAGGAGTTGTGTATTGCAAAATTGGATAGAGTATTTGTGGATTGGAAGGCAGGACGTTAGAATTTGATGTTTGTAAAATGATAATGGGGAACAGTGTGTGGACCTTTTTAAAGGATGATGCATTTTTTAGGCTTGTAGATTTTAAAGAAAATGTCTGCAGGCAGCAGCAGATGCACATTCTTGAAATTGAAACACTGTATCAAAAGACTACACTGTTCGCAGGCAAAGCAGCATTTTTACCAATACAACAGGTTTTCGAATTTAGCCAATTAATTTAAACCAGGCCCTAGATACCAAAACCCAACTAAATTTAAATCTGATGGTTTTGACAACATAGGACCAATCCCATTATAAGAAATTATTAGGTCATCAAGGGTATAAAAGAAGGTCATTTGAAAATCAGGGTGAGAGTCAACTGCTATGTGTCAAGGGAACAGTTCTAAGCTTTAAAAGAAAGAGTCACTGCCTCTCACAGAATTCTCTAAGCTCTCAGAAAATCATCATTTAAACTAAAGATACAATGGCACTCTTAGCTAATATTCCTGACACAAGAATTTAACAGGATTAGCAGTGAGTGTGCGGAGCATTCTTCAAGACTTATCATAGCTGCAATTTTGAGGGCCTAAGTTTTAATTTATTTTTCTTATTACTTTGGTTTATATTAGTGGGAATTATATTTATTGGCACAGCAAGCCATTAGAATTTTGTTTAGTCAGGAATAGTTAGTAGTTAAGGGGGAATTGTTAGTAGTTCTGTTCATTCATTTATTTTTAGCGTTAGATAAATAAATTGTTACTTGTTGATTATAAAGTGAGTATCAGGGATTTATTTCATTTAACCACTCCTTTACAACAGATTGTTGGTGGGGTAAGGGGAGGTGAGAGGCAGGTTATACCATTTTTCACACTTCCTTTAACAGATTAGGAGGCGAGATGTGCTTCTCTTGGTGTTTCAGTTTTAGTTATCAGTGTAGGATTGACCTCTCCTTCGTAACAAGAGATTCTGACGATGGGGGTGCAGCAGAGCAGACGGTACCTTCTCCACAGGCTGAATGTGTAACAGTGATGTCAGCTTGATTTGGAGTGAGTGAGTGAGTTAGAGTGCAACTGAATGGGTAGGCACAGTCATAACTCATCCAAGCCTGTCTGATGAACACAAAGTAACTAATTTCAGCTCAGTGGAAGAAAGCTTGCACTTGGCAAAGTCCATTTTCTTCACAAATTCTCTCCTGCCATAATCCATTCATAATTATTTTGATACTGGATTTCCCCAAACCTAAGATCACTGCACTCTCTTCTCTAACGGTCGTATAATTTTCATCTTCCCTCTTTATCCTTACTCTCAAATGACCCAGTATCAGTTAAGCAATTTGTTTTGGTAATTTATTGTGACAATTCAGATTGAGCAAATTATGAATCTCTATGCACATGTAGATTTTCAGCACTCAATATCCATCATTTTGATTTTTAATTGTTGACAGAACAAAGAAGTTGTGCTTATACTATCTGTGTACAATGTGCCTTTTTTTTAAACTGCCTCAATACATAAAGAAGAATGCATAGGAATTATGTACCTGTGCTTGGATTTTATATGCAACTGCAGGCCATGACGAGTGGAAGCTCTATGACCACATTCCTCACACACAAACAGCTTCTCCCTCTGGTGCCTGGACAATTCATGCACATGTAGGTCACTGCGGGTGAGGAAACATTTGGAGCAAGTGGGGCACTGCGAACAAGAAACATGCTACATGTTAAATTTTTTTTAAACACCATCAGATATTGGAACAGAAGCCAGCCATTCAACCTATCTAGCTACTTCACCATTCAATGAGATTGTGGCTGATTTGATAATCTTCTACTCTACAATCCTGCCTTTTCCCCAAAACCTTTGATATCCTTACTAATTTTAAAAAATATCTGTCTCAGAAACAATCTAGTGAACCTCCTCTCAACTATGTCAAATGCCGGTATAATGTTCTTAGATACGGGGGCCAAAACTGATCACAGTGTTCTAGGTGTCATCTGAACAGTGCCTTGTATAGTTTTAGCAAGACTTCCCTATTTCTGTGCACCATTTGCTTGAATAATGGCAAACCTTCCATTTGCCTCCCTGGTACCCATTGAACTTGAATGATAGCCTTTTGTGATTCATGCATGAGAAACTAAAATCCTCTTCTACTGCAGCTTTCTGCAGTCTTTCTCCATTTAAACGATATTCAGCCTCTCAATTATTAAAGATCTCATATTTTCCCACATTATATTCCATCTACCAAGTTTTTGCCCATTTGCTTAACCTGTCTATATTTCTCTGTAGAATCTGTGTCACCCTCACCACTTGCTTTCCCATCTATTTTTATGTCATTTGTAAACTTAGCTAATGCACGTTCACTTTCCTCAGCCGATTCACTAATATATATGTAGAAAATTTTGGCCCCAGTGCTGATCACTATGGCATTCTACTAGTTATGAGTTGCCATCCTGAAAATGCCGCTCTTATCCAACTTTGTCTTCTATTAGTTAGCTAATCCTCTATCCATGCTAATATTGTTTCTTATGTTATTAAGCAGCCCATTATCCAGTACCTTATCAAATGCTGCATTAATTATATTTCATCCATTGCGTGTTATCTCCTTAAAGAATTCTAATATATATGTCAGACATGGTTTCCCCTTTGTGAAGCCATGCTGACTCTCCTTGATTGTATTATGTACTTCTAACTGTTCTGCTATCACAGCCTATATTAGATGCTAACATTTTTCAATAACAGACATTAAGCTAACTTGCCTATTGTTACCTGTTTTTGTTTCCTTCCTTTTTTTAAATAGACTTGTTACATTGGCAGTGTTCCAATCCTTTGGGGTCTTTTCCAAAATGTAAGGAATTTTTGGAAGATCACTGCTGGTGCATCCACTGACTCTTTAGCTAGTTTCAGAAGAATGAGAGGAGATTTAATTGAGGTATGTAAGATGCTAAAGGAGACTGACAATGTAGACATAGAGAGGACGTTTCCTCTCGTGGGGCAATCAAGAGCAAGAATTCATAATTTTAGAATAAGGTGAAGCAGATTTAAAACAGACATGAGGAGAAATTACTTTTCTCAAAGGGGCTGAATCTGTGGAATTCATCCCAGTATACAATGGATACTGGGACTTTGAGTAAATCTAAGCAGGAGATGGTCAGATTTTTAATTAGGTATGGATAGCAGGCAGGAAGTGGAGTTGAAGCCGAGATGAGATTAAATATGATCATATCGAATGGTGGAGCAGACTCAAGTGGCTGAATTGCCTACTTGGGCGGCTAAATTATTTATACTTGCTCCTAGTTATTTTCTTCTAACATCCTAGGATGCATCCCATCAGGTCTGGAGGATATACTAGTCTTTAGTTCCATCAGTTTCCCTGGCACTTTTTCTCCAGTGATATTATTGTATTTACTTCCTCTACTCCTTTTACCCTTTGATTCTTTGGTAATATTGGAATGCTATTATATTCACAGCAGAAGACACTAAGTATTTATTCCACTCCTCTATAATCTCCTGGTGCCCTACTGTTATTTCCCAGCTTCATTGTTTAAGGCTTAGGTTACTTTTGGCCTCTCTCTTCCTTTTTATTTATTTAAAAACTGCTGTTGCTGTACTACTTTATCACTTTCAAGTTCACGCTCACAGTTTATATTCTCTCTATTTTGTTTTGGTTGTCTTTGATGATTTTTAAAACTTTCCAATCCTCTGGCTTGTCATTAACGTTTGCCACGCTGTATGCTTTTTCTTTCAATTTGATGTTTGCCTCAACTTCTCAGGTTAATTTATCCCCTTCTTAGAATCTTTCTTTTTCATTGGGACATATCTCTGCTGTGAGCCAAGAATTATTTTCTTAAATGCCTGCCATTTTTTTTCTCAATTTTCTTTGCTGGTAATCATCTTTCCCAGTCCGTTCCAGCAAACCATGCCCTTATTCTATTGTAATTACCCTTATTTAAACTTAGCATTGTTGTCTGCAACCCAAGTTCCTTGCCCTCAACCTGCATGCTAAATTCTACCATACTGTGGTCACTGCTGCCTAGGGAATCTTTTACTCTGTCATAATTTATTAAACTTGTCTCATTATACATCATCATATGCAAAACAGCCTGATTCATTGCTGAATTTGCAACATTGTTCTAGAAAACAGTCCCAACAACCTCCATGAATTCTTCATAGGGCTACCTCTGTCAATCTGTCTATCCCAATCTACATGAAGATGAAAGTCACCAGGGTTAACGTAATGCTTTTTGTACATGCCCTCATTATCTCCTGATTTTTCTCATTCCTACCAAACAGCTACTGTTAGGAGGCCTACAGACTACTCCTGCCAGTGTCATCTTCCCCTTTTTCTTGCTTAGCCTCACCTGTATGGATTCTGTCTCTTCTGATCCAAGATCATTTCTTGCTCTTGCACTTATTCCATCCCATACTAACAATGGTACACTACCATCCTTTTCTTCCTATCATTTTAAGAAATCACATACTTATGGATGCTTAGTTCCCAGCTTTGATCTCGTCCTAACCATGTCTCTGCAACAGCTATAAGATCATACCTGTTAACCTCTTTGTGCCATTAATTCATTTATTTTGTTCTGAATACTATCAGTATTTAAGTAAAGATCCATTAATTTTTTGCCTGTTTACTATTTTTCTCCCTTTGACCCTATTCACTGCTGTTTTTTCAATGTTTGTACATACTGTCCCTTCCTGTTCTACACTGGCTGTCGTTATCCAACTAGCTATAATTCTGCAGTATCCTGGCTTTGTAAGCACACATTTCGCCTTTCCCAGACCCACCCACCTCACTTAGTTTAAAGTTCCTCTCAACCCTAGTTAGTTGATTGAGCAGGGCACTAGTCTCTGCATGGTTCAAGAGAAGACTGTCCCACTGAAACAGCTCTCTTCTCGCCCAGTACTGTGCCAGCACCCCACAAACTGAAACCCATTCTACTGGTCCAATCTTTGAGTCATGCATTTAACTCCATGACTTCATTTATCCTATGCCAAATTGCCTGTGCCTCAGGTAGTAATCGAGAGGTGATTCGCTTGGAAGTTATAGTTTCTTATTTAGCTCCCAACTATTCAAAATCTTTCAGAAGAATCTCTTTGATAGGACTAGAAATGTTGCTGGTAACAATGTGGATGTTGACAACTGTAATCCCTCTCATTGCACTCCACATTATTCTCTAGCCTCAAGGAGATGTCCTTAACCCTGGCACCAAGTAGGTAACACATCTTTCGGGACTCCTGCTCAGAACACTGTGTCTAGCTCCCTAATGATACTGTCTCTTACCATGACTATGCTCCTATTTCCTCTCCCCACTTGAATGGCTTCTTGCACAAAGGTGCTATGGTCAGTTCGCTCATCCTCCCTGAAGTCCAAATTCTCGTCCACACAGCTTGCAAGAACCTTGTAACTGTTGGACAATTGCAGGGACCGAGGGTCCTCAATTGTAACCCCTGGTACCTCAGACCTGCCTCACTTGCAATTATACCCTGCTGTTCCCGATCTCAGACCAATTTTGAACTACCTAATCTGAGGGGTATGAATGCCCTCTAGAGCAAAGTGCCCAGCTAACATTCTCCCTTCCCTGACTCCAGGAGCAACACATCACCCATCCTGCCACCACTATCATATTTGACTTAATTTATAAATTGATTACTCTATTTTCCATGTTATTTACACTTTTTTTAAAAAATGAAATATACTTTTAAACACATTAATATCTGAAATAACTCCACAGATGCCAGTATCCCATCACCAAGTCATCCTTTATTTACATGTGCATAGTACTTGACACTGATCCAGCTCTCTCAGAGCCAGCTTTGAGAGAACAGGACCTCTGAAACTCCTGTTTTTATCTGTCAGCCAGGGCTCCCTGATTGGCCCAGATTAACATCCCCAATCAGGGAACTCATACTCTATACGGTCCACCTGGCTTCATTACAATCACTGCATGCCTCCCCCTCCAAGGCCGGGGACGTAGGCCTGTTCTTTTGCTTATAGCCTCTCCTGATGCATCTTTGTACCAGGTCTGGTTCAGTTCCTCTGACTCTGCCTTGTACACGGGTGGTGTGTATCAGACCATAATCCACCTCTTGCACCCGGAACAAATTCATCCCCTTCTTCAGGTGGTAAAGGCATCAAGGCTGTGACACGATGTCATGTCCATCTCAGACTCAGGTTTCTTTGCTGGATGGAGGGGGAGAAACCACTGGCTCTGACAGCCCTACTGGCTGTTCTGAGGGGCCTGGTATATTTTGCTCCTCCCCCTTTTGCAAGTTTTCAGCTTTCACGTGGTCCTTGTGATTGTTCAGGATTGCCTCACCTACTCGAACTGTGTGCTGACTATGCTTCTAACTCACGGAGGGCCATTCCCGTGGTTTTGGCACCAAACTTTGTCCCTTGAAGTAAAATGTCCTTCTCACTTAGAGGAGTCTTGTGCCCGGCAGTAGCATTCCTGATACTGTGTGGACCGGGCCCAAGGCAGTGGCATGGCATGGGCTGGGAAGCCCAGAGTGGGACTCTAGCAGTGGAGAAGGAAAAGTTGGACTCTCTTTAAGTTATCTAGTTTTTTAAAAATTTTATTCTAAGTTAATATGAATGGCACCTATACATGACGACTACGCACTTTTCACTGTATTTAATATTGAGTACACGTGACAATAAATACCTGACACACCTGATAAACCTGAGCACATGAAAGGGCTGGCATTGTTGGCATGTAACTTAGTCCAGGGTCTACCCAGCCATTCCCATGAATGTAGAGGCAGTAATTTTTGTCCTTGTGGGCACTCTGGGCACTACCCCACCAATGTGGCTATGTCTGCACCCATTCCTGGCCACCAGACATAATCTCCCACCAACATCTTCATTTTGGATACCTCTGGATGACCCTGGTGGAGTTCAGCCAGTATCTGGCAGCGACCTTTGCTCTGGACAATCACTCTTGCTCCCCATAATAAAATGCTGTCCTCTACGGTGATCTGGTCTCAATTCTGGTTGTGTTGGCCCATCGCCACCAGCTGTTTTAGTTTTGCCAGGATTGGATCATCTTGCGTCCATAGTATGATAGTGTCAGCAGTGACTGGAAGGGTGTCCAGAAAGGTTAAAAGCAGAACAAGCTCTTCCAGTAACAGTACCATCAGTGGTGCAGCTGCCAGTGGAGACAGCTCAAGGCATCTGCATTTGGAACTTAGCCTCCCAGACGGTGTTCCAACTTGTAATTGTATGTCTGTAGAATGAGAATCCACTGCTAGATTTGACCTGATGCTATGGACTAGTCTCAGGATGAGAGGAGGTTTTGGGTTGTAATATTCCTTAACTAAATCCAGTAACTCTTGAAAGATTTCAGAATCTGGCGCCTCAGGAAACGTGAGGCTCCTAATAACCAAAAAAGCTACAGGTCTCCAAGCTGCCAGGAGAATTACTTGGTGCTTTTCACCTGCCCCAATGTCATTTAATCAGAAAAAAAATGCATTCTTTCCACATATTGGGCCCAGTCTTCAGCAGGGTCAAATGAGTCAAGAGTCTCAAATGACAGTATGATGCAAGAAATGCTTATCCCAAATCAAAGATGACTGTTGCAAACAAATTTATTCGGGAGAGGGTTTTTTCTCTTGTTGCCACTGAAATAACTCCACAGAGGCCAGTATCCCATCACCAAGTCATCCTTTATTTACATGTGCATTGTACTTGAAGCTGGTCCGGCTTCCTCAGAGCCAGCTCTCGGATAGGACAGAACCTCTGACACTCCTGTTTATATATGTCAACCAGGGCTCCCTGATTGGGGCTGTTAACCTTGTCCAATCATGGAACTCTCATTCTATGAGATCCATCAGGCTGACCTTGTTACAATCACTACAGTTTCAGTCTTATACTCATTTTTAATCCATATTT